GACGGATTATGATTATTGAACCCCAAAATATAAGGTGTAGCCGCAATCTCGAAAATAAGGTCCAAATAATTTGGTCAGGAGAGCGGTCCAAAGTTTGGAGTCCCTTAATATTAATTTTACTTTTTACATATTTCCCCATATCTCGAGAATTTCTTAAACGAAAAAAAAAATTTTTGAGCGACTTACTTTTTATGCAAAAGTAATTCCATGCAAAATATAACTCTTAGTAAATATTTATTATTTTTTATTATTTTATTTAATAATAGTCGAAAAACTTTTGAACTGCAAGCTATACAGTTTTAAAGAATGCAATTTTAAATCGCAAGGTGCAAAATATGAACGAAATCGGTTGAATAGTTTCTGAGAAATCGAATTTTGGAAAAAGTCCTATTTTTAAAATTAATTCAATTTCTCGGGAACTATTTGACCGATTTTGCTCAAATTTTGTATTTTGCTGTATTACACTTTTTAAATGTATATCTCACAATTTTTGACTATTATAAAAAGTAATAAAAAATAGTAAATATTCGTTATAAGTTATTTTTGCATGGAATTATCTTTAGCTAAATGAATTTTATGATTGTACGCAATTTTTTTTTAATTTGCTTAAAAATTTCTCGAGTTTTGGAGAAATACGCAAAAAATAAAATTAACATTAAGGGGTCCAAACTTTGGATCACTCCCCTGACCAAACCATTTACCCCGATTGTGACTATCATCTATATTTTGTGGGTTAAAAGTTCGAATCCGTCGATTAAAAAGGTATGTTTATTCGAAGGAAGTACATTTTTGTGGATGTTTTAGTAACCATGTTAATTAGCAAATTTGAGGTCAACCCTTCGAACCATTAAGATTGATTCCTAGAATATGAAAGTCTGATCATTAAATCAAAAGTTATTAAGGGTAGTCCATTTATTTCTTCGAGCACTGTACATAGTCTTACACAAAATTTATAATAAAAATAAATGTAATTTATTTATGGTTTAATTATTATAAAAAGTAACGGAAAATCATTAAATAAGGCAAAATTATAGTATAAAAATCTTAAAGTTTAATGCAATAAATAAAAAAACCGTTTTTACTTTTAGGTTTTATTATAAATAAATTTCAAATCAAAGAAAAACGCATGAATAACAAACATAATAATATTAGGAAGGAACCAGGTTTTTTGTCTTAAAAAAAAGGAAAAACCAGGCAGGTTTGGATGCTTGACATTTTCTGATTTTCTTGACTTTTTCAGGATACAGCTTTATGTAAAATTATTAGACACGTAACTTTTTATTTTTGCAAAAAAAAATTTTTTTTTCGATGAAACTCTGAAAATCTTTCCTGAACTGAAAATCTTCTGGAAATTTGAGCAAAATACATCAATTCACAGGTGGCAATACTTTTTGAGAAAAGAGTGAGTCACTTCACTGGCCGTTTTTATTTATTTATTTTATTTCTACTACGCTGGCAATAACAATTACGACATAAATACTTTCTTTTTTTATGTCATTCCTTAAATACTTTAATACTAATGCGTAAATACTTTATTTCAAACTGCACGTCATTAAACTTTATTTACAGCTTTATAAACAGTTAAACATCAGTCGAAAGCTTGAAGTGCCCGGATTTGGAACCGCTCGCGCATTTGTGACACACGAATAATCCACAAACACCTTTTTCTAAATGAGCCAGAGTGTTCCAACTGCAAAACATTCAACTGTTATACATATTTTAAGCACCAAAAGTGCGCCAAATTTAAAAATCAGAGACTGCGTCGTTTCAGTTGCTTCTATCAGTCATTATTTTTACTAATTGAAAAGAATCCTCACTCTAACACTTTCGCATACACCGACCGGCCTATGTAGGGGTCAGGGAACTAGCCTTGCATCAGAAAGGTTCTGGGTTCGAAACTCCGGCAAAGCATAGATGTTCTTTTATTCACCTGTTCTAACTGTCCTTACTGTGGGAGCAACGTTGGCCCACCTAATATGGTGCCCCTGAAAGAGTGGCCCATAAATCTGCCCTTCAGAGGCCTGTATGATCAAAGGTCATTTCCCAAGCGGGCATTGGAAGAAAAAATTTTTCCATACCTTAAAGACAATGACATTTATGCATCGATCTAGTTTTTAAACCAAAACAGAATTGTGAACTTAGTTCTATAATATCTAGCTCAAATCAAATCAAACATAAATACTTACAGTGGACCTTTGCATTGAAGAACATTAAAAAATCTTCAATGACGGCTATTTTCTTATATATTGAAAGTCAATATCTAACCAATAGTGAATCACAAGGCTATATATATATATCTGTTTAACAGGTAGTACTCATAAAAATAGACATATGTGCCGTGTAGCCTTAAAATTGACCGTAACGTAGCAGGGAGCTGAAATTTTGAATTGTCGAGCACTTTAGGGTACAACAGTTTAACAAGAACCTGTACCGCACACCCTCGGTCCCTACGCAGGCTGATTAAAGCCGTCACCCACCCGCTTACTGATCGCTGATTCGGATTACTGACTTCGGTGTTCTACTGGGAACCGCGTTTTTATGATCGGTCCAAAGCGGGACCCCAACTATAAATTACATAGAATATGCGTGTTTTAGACTAATTAGGGTTCATTAAAAAAGTTTCTGGAAATATTTCNCAGTTCAAACTGGATCCTTTTTAAATAACTCATTCAGGTGAATATCACACATGAAGAGGGTCTATTAGCTATCAAGGACTGTATATCTGTTAATTTATATTTATATATATATATAATATATATATACCTGGTTTGAATGTTAATGTACAATCCAAAAATAAACCGAGCGAAGGAAATAGCAGTTAACCAAAAAGTTTATAAGAAAAAAAGTACGATTGATAAATTTGTTGTACCCATCGAAATGAAAAGAAATTTTTTTTTTTTTTTTTTGCAGTTCATGATAGACTTGAATTTTGTGCCTCGGTCGCCGAAAGAAGAGTAGGCGAGAAAAAGTGCGTGCTGTAAGGTGCCCCCAAAACTTATTTTTAATTAGTAAATTAATTATTTTAGATTAATTCATTTTTTCTTAAGAATTAATTAATTAGTCTTTTCTTACGAATTAATTAATAAATTAATTCTTTTAAATTAAGAAATTTTTTCTTCAGAATTAATTAACTTTTTCTTGAGTTCTTCATTCAATATTAATAAATTAATTCAATATTAATCTGCCGCTATTGTCATGTACCACAAACAATTACTCAGTAGAAACAACTATATTATCTCCAATATATATTTCGAGAATTTACTACTACTTCTGATCTTTTAATAGCACTTATAAGGTGAAGTTTTATTCAAAAAGGGCCTCCCGTTTTACCCGTTACATGGAAGAATTATTTATTTCCTTTTCATAATTATGTACACGCTATTTTTCTCCTGCCCTCCCCCCCTCCCCTCGAGAAAAGAAAGTTTTCTTGACCTTGCGTAACGGTTCATAGTACTCCCTCCTTTCCTTATTTAATAAATACTATGGGGTATTATATAATGAGTAGCCCCGGAAGTGGCAGAGGAAGTAGTCGATCAAAAAACAGCACGCGATGAAGATACAAATGAAAGCAATGATTATTTTATAGCATATATTTGAATTTTGGTTCTAAGTAATTCCCTGGAAATTATTTTACTTCCAGTTGGAATAAGAATTAAATTCATTTGCTTACAACTTCTGAAGTGGGCTAAACTTTTGATAGCCAAAAAAACGGCTAAATTTACAGCTTTTCTTTTTTCTTAATTTTTTGACGCATAATATCTAAAAAAATTTAAAAACAAAATAAAATACGTAAAATTTTAAGAACGAAAATTAAAGATCCATAAATTCTGCATCGAGGGATATACTTAAATATTAATCAGAATCAGTATCAGAATCAGTATTATCAGAATCAGTAATCAAAATGCCGCTATAGTGAACCTTCAAGGGATCGAAATTTCTGTTCACTATTACCGGGAGTTTACTATATCAAGTCCTCAAAAAGTTTTAACTAATGGCTAAGACCTCCTTCCTTTTATTGCACATTATTTAAATAAATGACCATTAAAATGAAATACAAAAATGACTGAAAAATAATACGTAGTAACAAAAAATGTGTTAACTTATTTTTATTTTTTATTACGCTTCGTTTTGTATACGAAAAAAATTTTTTTTTGTAATCTTTAGCTGATACGAAGCTGATGCAGGAAAAATTTTGTCCATACATCTGCCTGGGTGGGCCTTTATTTAAGGATGGGAAAGTGAGATAAAAGTAGCAAACAAGAAAAGATGCTTATCGCTACATTTTGCTCAATAGATGGTTTTAAAAATCAGTATAAGTATTTATATTAAAGCAGACATTTCAAAAATATTAAAAAAAAAATGAAGGAAAAAATTCAATCGAAATCTGAAAAAAGTTCATAATATCCAACTTCCTCACTTTTTTGGTTCACTATATCCACAAAAAATAACTATACATGTATAGCTAGGCACGGGACCGAACATTTCGTTCACTATATCCGGGAGTTCACTATAAACCGTGTTCATTACAGCGGAGTTTGACTGTAATTACTTAGATTTAAGATTATTTTCAACTTGATTCAAGTTTTTTAAAAGGTTTTTTTCACGCTTGAAAACCTTAAGTCAACCTCGATTTAAGGTTTTTATATAGAATATTGTTTTTCAAGGTTTTGGATTAGGGTAATGTGAATAGAAATGAGCACATTGTCACAGATCTCGTTTTAAGGTTCTGTAATGCGGTTTACACGTAAACCGCATTTAGGTTTACATTAAAAGGTTTTTGCTGAGTGAAAATAAACCTAATTTTGCTAGATGGGATCACATTGTTTTACTGAATATTTATAAAACAGATTTAATTTTGTATTAAATAGTAAATGTTTCACCCGATAATGACCTTTTTGAGTTCTTTATTAAGTTTAAGATCCTTCATTAAAACCTGAAAATGTTAAAAGATTGTTATGAACTTGTTTCTAATCATGAAAAAAATCTTACTTTATTTCCAGCTTTCACTAGCGTACATTTTTTTCATCCGCCATTGCTGAACATAGAAGATGAGTACATTAATGTATCCGAAGTCGATAGAACACTGGACATCACGTGTGTTGGAAAATATCCATTGTCTTGGAAAACTCCAATAACCAGGGTATGACAGCATATGTTAGTTTATGAAGGTTTTTATTGTCGTTATACTCTGTTGCAAGTTAAGAAAAAACCATTATGTCTATGGAGAAGCTTGTTTACATCTAGGTGCACGCCAAATAGATGCCAAACTCCCAGCGCGAACGAGTATCAACATCGCCAACTCTTGCACAGACTTTTTTTTTTTTGCATGCTCTCTTAAACTGTGTGAAATGAGGAAAACGAAACATATCGGATAATCAATTAGCAATAAATAATCAATTAGAAACAATAAAAATAATATCTAAAAATAGTATCAAATATACGCATTTCTGTTTGCATTTAAAGAAACTGATGAAAAAAATAATAAATATTGTTTCTAGCAGACGATTTTCTTCTACAGCGAAACAAAAGTAAAAATTCTTTATCACGCATTTGGTTTGTTAAGAGCAAGTCAGAGTAAAACGCGCCATTTTTATTGATCCAATGAAATCCAATGCTCTTACAACGTCATATAGTTGTTTCTTTTTCAAGTTCTCCTTATTTATCAAAACACATCGCCACATCTAGGATTCCAGTAAGACTACGAAACTATAACCGTTTCTCTTTAATTCTATGACGTAGAATATCTTACAAGATAGCACGAATTAAATTTCTGTCTGACGAGTTTAACTATTAAANCAATTTCGGGTTACGACTACTAATGTTCAACTCCGTAACCTTGTAATTTTGAACCTATCCAGAAGACAAAGAAACTCCCAGATCAGTACCCCCAGAGGTGTTGATTTGTTTTGGGAACATGGAGGACTTTGCGACTCAACAGATTTAACGTGGATCAGTCATCATTTACTATACGGGGAGTCTTCGACCGGCCTGGGATCGTGCCCACGAACTGTTGGACATGGGCCCAGCATGCAGTGATTTGCAATTAACTCAAAACCCAGTCGGTATTGGCTGATAAAAACTTCGGAATATCATTATGGATGAGAAGACTATAGTGTCCCTCGCATATGTCTGCAGACTGAAGCAGAAAACAAATTTTCTGTCAAGATTTCAGATCCAACCCCTTTTGATATGCGTCTGTATCGAACAACCAATTAAAAACAATGAAGTATCATATGAACAGCTGAACAATGGCATTTCCGAAATGGTGCTTCCTTCCTCAAAACTTTTTAAGTGATATGATGACATCCTTCCCAAGCTATAGAAGATTTTGCTTGGTAAAAATTGGCGGAAGTTTCTATTTTTGGTACATATTTTTTAGAGTGCTAAACTCGAATCCGCATTTTGAGATCAAAATTTTTTTCAGGAAAGTTTTTTTTTTCTCAGAAAAATCTTAAAAAATCCAGTTTGTTTTTGCATATAACGTTTTTCCTGTTTTGTTTAAGATAGAAAGGACTTCACGCAAATCTTAAGAAAATTTAAATAGGCTGAAAGTTTTCTGATGAAAAGTTCTCATTGACTCAAAAGTGCTTAAAGCGCGCTTTCGTACAGCATTGGGTACACGTTGCGAGTGTTACATGGTTTTTAGGAATAGTGTTACATGGTTTACATGGTTACTAGTGTTACATGGTCTTTAGAAATATATTTACGAAGTAAATAGAATGTATCAATGATGCAGCGAATCGACTTTCCAAACAAAATATAAATAATACTCAAATAATTGATGGATTAGTTATATGTCTATATATATTTGTATGTATACAAGCATCTTTTTGTTAAAACAATCAGCCCTTATACGCCCAAAATCAGATCCGACCAACTCCAGACGGTTAGTGCTAATGCCGTGTGATAATTTCTATTTACGTTTGAAGCTCGGAAACTATAAATTTTTGGAGTATGAGAACTTTTGATCAGAGTGTTTTGAACTACAACATATTAGATTTTCAGCCTATTTTAAAGAGAATTAATTTCCATATGATGTGTGTGGGGTCCTTTAGAATATAACTCCTAACAATTCTATACGAATGGAACATTTGCAAAAGAACAAGATTAAAAAGCGAAAAATAAAAAAATTTAAAAGCAAAGTAATAGTTTAAAAAGCAAAATAATAAAAAATTGGAAAAGAAGAAAAAGTTTTATTTAGGAAATTTAGTATACATTTTACCCGTTTCTAATAATAATATTATTCAAGGTATCCTAGATTGGTTATTACATATAATATATTTATATGTTATCGTTTGCTTTGAAGTTTTCAATAACTTTCAAGCTTAAATGATTGCACAGATAAATGCATGAAGATAAAAGAAATATATATATGTAATTTTTTGTATAGAAAATAGCGAAATGTAAGTAGTAATAATAAAAGATTGTAATCTAAATTAACTTGACATGCAATATACAGAATTTCACTAATTTATAATTTCATTGCTCAGTAACGATGAGTCCTATACGTATGAACAAGCTTACCGGTAAGCTTGTTCATACGTTACTTAAACTCACTTAGAATTGCATTTTTTAGAGGCATATACGCATTATTAAAAGTGATTTTTATCTTAGGACAATTATCCCTTATTTTTAAATGTCTGCTTCGCTGTCGTAAATTTTTCCTTCAGCAACTCAGAGTATGTAGTTAGGTTTTCTTCATCAAAAACCTGAAGTAATGGAATTTTCTTTTTTTTATATAAAAATAATTTAAAAAAAATTTTTTTAGTAACATCATTCTTATTAAACTAAAAAATTACGAACCAAGAAAATACGTCAAAATGTGAAATCGCCAGTATAGATCATTATTATTCAAATCCAGGCAATCGTATATTTCTTTACAATTAACAAAATGTTCTAGCCTATGTAAAACTATATTTTATTGACAAAAATTATCCTTGTTTTTGTGAAAATATTGACATTTAAGTGGGAAAGAAGAATGAATGAACGTGAAGCAATTACGGGTGAGCGAAACAAGCTGGTGGTAGGCTAAGACAGTGTAAAAAATTTTAATCGCCATCATTAAAAATGTATAAATAAATATAATAGTTTATGAAATTTTTTATTAGAATGTGTGTCATTACAGGATGAGAATCGAATATCCATAAACATAACAGTCAATTCTTCAGAAGCTATCAATAAGTACAAATCTACAATTACTGTTCAAAATTTAGACTTCAATGATACAGGTTTTTACATTTGCTTTTACGAAGGAACAACGGATTTCACATCTGCCGTAGACAATACTACCTCAATATATGTCTTCATCAATGGCAAGTATTTATTATTATTATTATTATTGAAACATTCCTAAAAAAATGCTAAATTGTTAAATTTTCATATAATAATTCTTATAAATATATTTTTCTTTGTAATTCTTGTGCATATTACATTTTCTCTCCTTAGAAAAATATAGCAAAATCAAATCAGGCTTCGGTTCGAACTAATTCCAGAAAGCTGAAAATGATTTTATTCTACTTTAAGCATCCCGAATCAAAATATAAAATGAGTTTATGAATGAGCTATGGTTTATGGGTTTTGAAATGAGCTAAACTTTAGAGAACCCAAAAATCGCTAAATTTTTGGCACTTTCTTATTTTTAGTCTCCTAGCATCTGAAGACTACAAACTCAAAATTTAACAAAAAATCAAAATTAAAGATCTGTAAATTCTGCATCGAATGATATACTTAAATTTTAAATTTAGCTGATTGGCCAAACTCAGTAATCAAAAACATTAGCAACAAATTAAGCTTGGCACCAGTTGGGCTCAAAATTGGTTCAATATGGGTCTTATAAAAACATGCACCGAGGGACTAATATTAGGATGTCTAAATAGATTTTGTAATATTGGTCCTAAATATGACCTACACTTAGCCAATATAGAACCTATATTAGTTAAATAATGGATATAAAATATCAGGTGAATCTGACAATTCTATATAGTACCGATATTGGTTGTAAAGTGGCTGTAAAATATCAGGTGAATCGGAAAATTCTATATAGTACTGATATTGGTTGTAAAGTGGCTGTAAAATATCAGGTGAATCGGAAAATTCTACGTAGGACCAATATCGGTAAAATAACGGCCTTTTGAACCCTTATTGAACCAAAATGAATATTAGTCCAATGAGAATCCAAGTTGTTTTGCTACTAGGGAATGAACAAAACTTTTCGTTTCACCTGAAAAAAAGAATTAAGCTCACTTTCAAACGCCGTAAACCGTTAAAAAAAAAATTAGTAAGAGAGATTTAGAGTATCAAATTTTGTTTCCAGAGAGCTCCAAAAGTTTCACAATTTTTCTCATTTTTAAGCATTGAAACAATAAAAATGAAAAAAATATTATGAGGTTTTTTTTGTGCATATTGTAAGAAAAGTCAAATTGGTTTTATACTTAAAGTATAGAATTAGCTGAGGCGTTTTGGGAATCGTGCATGGTCAAAGTGTAGAAACACCCTGTTTAGTGCTTTATTTTCACAATGATCTTAAAATTTAAAGGTTTATTTCTAGTTTTCGCATAGATTGGATTTGGCACACTATTTAGTGACCAATTTATTATTTTCAGATTAACACGCACAGCTTCAGCACTCAGTCGTGCAATTAATTAAATTTACGCTTACAGCGCCATCTATGTTGGATGGGAATAAACAGTATTTGTTTTTTTCAGATCCTATTCACTTGTTCCTTGAGAATTCTGCCATCATATCGGGTCACTTACTGATTCCGCTCCTCCAACATCGAAAGAGCGTCATTCCGTGTCTACCCACTTCTCCAGACGTGAACGTGACCCTCTGGAAGACGGAGAGCGAGGAGGATGTCGGTGAGATGGTCCAAACAGGAACGGATATCACATTTGATCCAAGACAAGGATTCCATCTGCACTATCCAACCATCTACTTCAACGGCTTCTTCCAGTGCAGGGCCATCCTGAAGGACAATTACCAGGAGATAAACCTTACCCTCTTCTATATGCGTATGTCACATTGTCATCTAAGCGTATGTCTATATGCGTATGCCATTCCTTATATTGTTGCATTTGCACATTTTAGAGTCAATAAATAAGAAATAATTCCCCCTTATTAAAAGCTTTGTTACTTGAATAGTATTGTACTGGGCCGGGATGGCCTGGTTGGTAGAGCACTGGGCCCGTGTTTAAGAGGTCGTGGGTTCGATCCCCGCCGGCCGAAGACTCTACATGTTGTAAATGGTGACTAATGCAAGTTAAATCTGTCAAATCACAAAGTCATCCATGTTCCCATAACAAATCATACCTCAGTGGGTACTGATCCAGGAGTTTCCTTGTCTTCTGGATTGGTTCAAAATTACAAGGCTACGGAGTTGAACATTAGTAGTCGTAAACCCAAAATTGGGTCGGCTGTTCAACGACGGTTATAAAATATAAAATAATGTCGTACTTGAGCCACGATGGCTCAGGGGATAGAAAGTGAACCGGGTTCGAACCACTGCAATGATTGGTCAATACAAATTTCGTATCCGGCTTGCATCGACCACAGCGTTGACGTGAAATATCCTCAGGGGTAGACGGATCATGGGTTAGAGTCCCCTTGCCTGCAGGCTAACTGTGTGAGGTTCTCGCGGTCTTCCTCACTATGCAACGCAAATATGGGTTAGTTCCATCAAAAAGTCCTCTACGAAGGCAAATTTCTCCCAATGCATGAACCAAGAGTTCCCTTGTCGTCTGTATTGGATTCAAAATTACAAGGCTACGGAGTTTGAACATTAGCAGTCGAACTCAAAAATTGGGTCGGTTCTTCAACGACGGTTATAAAGAAAAAATAGTTCAGTTAAACAGAAAAAAAAGTAAATTTGACTAAAAAAATGTATTGGACTAAAAAAAATCATAAGTTTTTTTGTCGTAATAGCACAATGCAAGTCCTTTTTCAACTCTTAATGAACATACCATTTTCTGTATCTTTAATATCTTAGCAAGTTGACTGTGCATTGGAAATTCGTCGTAATAGCGAACTTCTCTTAAGATGCTCTATATATCGAGCTTTTACTGCATGCGTATCCCGGCATCTCCTATTTTGAACTTCTACTGCATTTACTGTACTACTAAGTGATCAAGAAAATCTTTTTTTTACAGCTGATACCTTCAATGATCCCCAGCCTTTCATTGACAGTTCAGGAGCTCAACATCCTCTGGTCAACGGGACATTCGTCTTGAAGTGCGTCGTCGATGCTGAACCAGATACCAGGTTGTTCATAGAATGGGATTACCCGAACAAGAATGTGAGTCTCGAATACTTTGTCTAAAGTAAAAACTCCCCTTGCCGTTCGTCTAGACCCGTGTGCAATGACTATGGTATCGAGGTATAACTATTTCAAGTAGGGGTGTGGGGTCACTGTTTAGGACTGGTTTCGGCGAGAGAAACGGACTCTTTTTTCTTCGGTGTTAGCCCTCCTAGAGTGAAGAGAAACTACCCTCCCTTGAAATGCGCCACTCTTGTTTGCATAGCACCAAACGGCCTCAGACTTTGCAGCGGGTGGAGTTCTTCCTGTAGAAAAACTATAACTACACGCGGTTTCGGTTAATTATTGACTAAATGTAAACAATAACAAGAGCTTTCTAAAACCGGAAGAAATTAAGAAATTTTCCGGTGTATCAGTCCGCTTACGAGGCGATGTGCGAGCAAGCTTAATATTCTAGGAAGTTTTATTATTGTGATTTGTGTTTAAATATATACTTAGTTTTTACCAGTCATAAGAGTTTTACGCACTGACAGCGGAAATATCTCGAAAGTGGGGGGCTCTTTCCCTCCCTGTATGCATATATATATATATATATACAGATAAATAGATATACATAATTATATATTATGCTGTAAATTTATATTATATATATTTTTAAAATGCAATCTTTCTTATAAAAATATTAGGGTTCGTACATGCTGGGAATATCGGGGGAAAACCTGATTTGAAAACCCTAATTTTACCCTAAATCTGGGAATTCTCAGAGAATTTGTCACTCTATCAAATTAGGGGATTTCACTCCTGTGTTTTCAATTGTAATTCAAGGATAAGAAAAAAATAATCAGGTTTTTTCTGGACCCATCTTCATTAGATGTGTTCTTGAGATTCTATTATTCTACAGCTTTTCTGGAGTGTTGTCAATTAGATGTCTGAGTTAAGGAACTTAAAATTTTTGTTTTGAAAGTATTTTTAATCCACTTTTGTTTCTCAATTTCCTTGATTTATTGTGACAAAATATTATTTTATAATTTTGGATAATACACTATTGTTACAAACAAAAAGTTTTTATCGTCTACTATGCTTATTCATTTTATATTTATTGGAGAAACAGCATTTTTTATTTGCATGATTTCTCAGAGCTGCGTTATCATTTGCAAGTGAAATTACATTTGCTTTTCTTAAATTTCATCTGCTTTTATTAAGAAATAAAGGCAGAATATTGTTNTTTATTTAGTAATTTTAAACTTATGTAAGTATTATTTTATAATGTTGAATATGAACAATGCGCATGCGCAAGTTTTTCTTTCAACGAATCAGCGACATTCAAGAACTTGGATAGTGTCAACGAATCATCCAATTTCTTGGACAGAGAAATCCGTCCAATTTCTCGGATTCAAGAAATTGGACCGTGTAAACAGGCCTTAATACCAGAAGAAATTTTTAAATAACTTCCTGTGTATCCATCCTTTTACCATAGGCGATCACAACGCTCGAATACGCGCCATCTGGGGAGAAGACCGATTCCATGCCTTTGGCCCTTCACCCTTCCTCCTCCTCCTCGTTGCAGTTGTATAGGAATGTACTACGATACTTTTCCTTTTCTTAATATTTTTCGTTTTTAAATAATAAAAATATTTTTTTAAAATTTCCATCATGCTTTCTTTTAGAACTATATTTAATGTAGTTTTAAGTTCCAAATAGTTTCCCAACTTAAAAGATTTTTATCTGTGTGAAAATCAAGACAAAAACTTACGTACTTCCTTCAGACAGAAACTAAAGTACTCCTTCCAACGAGGTGAACCGAGTTCGAATCCCACCAATGGCTGGTGGATACGAAACCGCATCCGACTTGCACCGATCACACTGCTGACGTGAAATATCCTCAGTTGTAGACGGATCATGTGTTAGAGTCCCTTTGCTAACCGTGGGAGGTTTTCATGGTCTTCCTCTCCATGAAACGCATATACGGGTTAGTTCCATCAAAAAGTCCTCCACAAGGGCAAATTTTTCCCAATACTTGATCCAGGAGTTCCCTTGTTTTCTGGATTGGGTTGAAAATTACATGGCTACGGAGTTGAACATTAGTAGTCGTAAACCCACAAATTGGGTCTGCTGTTCAACGACAGTTATATAAAACAAAATAAAATTAATCCTCACCGCTACCCTATATACGTTTTTAATCTAACTGTTTATTTTAAATTTTACAGCAACACAACAACCAATCCATGTGAACTTTACGACTGATATGAATCTGTCAGAACCAGTAGTGCACCAAGCAGGCCAAAACGTGAAATTCGTCATAACCGTAGATGCATACCCAAGCAGCGTGTCCGAAATCTACTGGTTGAAGGATGGTCAGCTCCTTCAGCCAGACAACAGTCACTTTCGGATAGAGACGAAGGAGAAAACGGTTGTCTTGGAGATTCATCACCTCCTACGCTCCGACGCAGGAAACTACACTCTGGTAGGAAAGGTTAAAGATGTAGTCAGCAGCATATCCATCATTCTAGAAGTCAAAGGTTCGTTCTAATTACTGTTGTTGTTATTTACGTCGCACTAGAGCAGCAAAATGGGCTATTGGCGACGGTCCGGAAGCATCCAATATTAATTCGCAGGATTCAACTTAAATAGTTTGAGGCCCGTAGCTAATTGAATGCAAAAAATAGTTATGAGAAAACTATTTCAAAGTAGAGGTTCAATATGAACTGTCTGCGCAAGTGATATAATATTTTCGATGTATGCTGAATCGAATAAAACAACACCTAAGCCCATAACTAATAAATGGTTAAGAACTTCACTTGCCCCGGTAGCAGTGTTAGGTGCAAGCAAATTCTAACTCATACCTATGCTTGCACCTAACATTTCTACCGTGGCAAGTGAGGTACTGAATTGATTTGATACTTTATAATCAATCGATATGAACACTTCTGTTTACAAGATAGGTATTTACTTTATTTACGTCACACTAGAGTTGCACAATGGTCTATTGGCGACGATCTGGGAAACATCCTTTAAGATGATCGGAAGACATGCCATCCCAATTTTGATCCTCTGCAGAGAGGATGGCTCTCCTGATTTGGCTACCTGCGTTCGAAGTCGAGAACTTTACGGTAGCACAGTTTAACGAAAACCGATACCGAGCACCCACTATCCCTACGCAGACTGATCAAAGTGGTCACCCACCCGCTTACTGATCTCAGCCAGTAATGCTTGACTTCGATGTTCTTCTGGGAACCGTGTCGCTGTGTGACTTCAGTTTACTAACATCTTAAAAGTTATAAGTAAAACGTAACTATTATGCGCAAATCTTATATAACTTTTAATCTGTCAGTGAACTAAAGTGTTCCTACCCCTTAAAGTTAGAGAAATTTTCGCACATGCTCTGTGAAGCTGAAATAGCGTGGAGAGGATAATTGTTGTCACCTATCTTCCTTTAGATAAGCCAATTGTATCTGTGAGGAATGGGGAGTTTCTCTACAAGGTAGGGTCCCACCACACACTGGAATGTCATGCTGATGGTTACCCGGCTCCCATACTCTGGTGGAAATGGAAACCTTGGAGCAGTTCTGTTTCCAGTTATTCGTACGGATGGCAAGACGTGGAACCAAACGGGAATTTCCCGAACGGAGAGAATGTCACCCAGGTGAAAAGTCTTTCACTGGTGTCATACTTACAGGTGACGGCAGTACAGTCTGGACACTACCAGTGCGTCGCCAGTAACGTCATGGGTCAAGACAGTGTCATTACACCTTTTATAGTCACAGGTAATTATATTTCTATCCACACTTTTTTGCGAATGTAATAAATGAAAAAAAATCTAGTGTTGGTAATTTTATTATGTAGGATTTTTGCGGGTCAAAATCAATTTCGAGGACAACATCAATACTCAACTGGATTTTAGCTATCAAGGACTTTTAACTTTTATTCAATTACTATTTTACCCTACTTTTTACTGTTATTTTCTATTTTCCTTTTACGCCGTTGCTTTTAGCTTGCTTTGTTTTAATTTTTTTTTTAGCTGTTTAAACTTCTAAACTTTCCATGTGTTTTCATTTGAATTTGACGTAGGAAGCCGTAAACATTACTTTTACATGTGCACTATAGCTGGATAATGAATTGACTTAATTTGTCCAATAAAAAAAATCTGTTGGGTAATTTTTAATATCCTTGTTTAGAAAGTTTGGTGGGCAGGATTGAATAAAGTATTTTTTAATAAAAAAAATGTATGTTCTTAAAAAAATGTAGATCTCATGAAACTTTAATCACAAATTGCTGTAAATGATGAGAGAAAACGTTAGAAGAGTACCGCATTCAACTTAAGTCGGTCTCTCAGTTTCTTTAAAGTGTTTCCTCGTTGTGATAGTACCGAAACAGTCAACGAAGATCTTTATTTAAATTTTGAAAGGAGACCAAAGATGACGTGTTTTGTTTCCAGCTTTCGAGTATGCTCTTGTCTTTTCAATATGATGATGTCATTTAAGAATGGTGATGTCATTTAAGAATTATCGATAACTCAACATTTCTATCATATTGTTGCTGTTATAGATGCAGATAAAGGATTTGAGATAGAGCTGTCAGAAGCGAAGCCTGTCGATAAAGACACCGTAGATTTGATTTGCAAAGTGAACACATACAACTTCAGTGGTGTGGAATGGATTTGGAGACCTATGGATTCCAATGGCGAGACAAAATCTTTATGGAACATTCAAGGTATTTATGAAACGTTTTTTTTTGCTTCTCTTTTTAAGTTCATGGCCTTAATTTTAAATAAGAAATCCTCCATAAAAAAACATTTATTAAATATTTTTTTAAAAAATTATATGGATTATTAACCAATTTAACCACCTAGCTCACGATTTGTAATAATGTGAGAAGCTCCTGTGAGGTAGCGCATTTCTGATTTTCAGAAATGCTTGTCAATTTTTTGGGGAAAAAAATAAAATTCATAGATTATAAAAACGTAAAAACGATAACCCAAATATTTTTAGTGTACCAGAAATAGGTGAATATTTTTTTGTATAAAGTATTTAAAGCTCTTTTTTACATATATATAACCGTCGTTGAACAGCCAATCCAATTTTGGGTTTACGACTACTGATGTTCAACTCCGTAGCCTTGAAATTTTGAACCCAATCTAAAAGAACTCTTAATCAAGTATTCAGAGAAATTTGCCTTCGTGAAGGACTTTTTGATGGAACTGACCGGCATTTGCTTTACATCTAGAGGAATAGCACGAGAATCTCCCACGGTCAGCCTGATGGTAAGGGGACTATAACTCATAATCCGCCTACAGCTGAAGATATTCCATTAAAGATCAGTACTGTGGTCGGTGCAAGTCGGATGCGGAATTCGTATCAACCAGTCATCGCTGGAATTTGAACCCATGGCACCTCATTTGAAGGCGAACGCTCTATCTCTTGAGCCATCATGGCTTATTTATAGTATTTTATTTTATATTTTATAACTGTCGTTGAGCAGCCAACCCAATTTTTTGGGTTTACGACTAATAATGTTCAACTCCGTAGCCTCGTAATTTTGAACCCAAACCAGAAGACAAGGGAACTCTTGGATCGTGTATTGGGAGAAAGTAATTCACTATCCGTACATAACTTCTTATTTTTGCCTACTAAAACTTGTTAGCAGTAACTACTTTTTCAAGTTCTGCAATTCAAGTTTCATGTTTATAATTCATTTGTTAGCTTCTGTAGATGTAGATGATTGTTTCTCTTTTTATATTTTTAATATTTTATTTTCATTTTTTCGGACATTTATGTTTAACCATATTTTTTTGAAAATTTCATTCCTCTTTGAAAATGTGTTCTAATAAATAAATGCCTTCCATAGATGTGAACATGAGCAACAGTACAACACCCTATTCTCACTCTTCCACGATACATTTCCAGCCCATTCATCGGAACATGAGTGGAGAATATGAATGCATTGCTAAAGGAGCGAACAACAACAATTCCACGGATTCCAAACACATCCTCATTGACGTTAAAGGTAATGCTATAATGAATCTGGAATATAGTGAACACGCGGTTGTAGGGGAATTTTTTAGTAGTCCCTTCTCAGAATTTTTACTCATATTTGTAAAAAGAAATTCCCTGTGCCTTCCCTGCACATATTATACACAATATATTAACCGAAAATTCTGGAAAATTTTCCATATAACCAGGGCCTGATTATCGCCCTAGGTTCAATAGGCATGGGCCTAGGGTCCACAATTTCTGAGGGGCCTCAAAAATTTGTAAAAAGTCTACACTCTAAAAACTGTACCTCTGATTTCAGAGGCACATTTGAATCATTTGTGCCTCTGAATTTTAAGGGCGCAACGTACCTTTAAAAATGAAAGGCACAATGTACCTCTGATTTCAGAGGCAAAATCAGATGTACCTCTTAACTTGGAAGGTACATTATACCTTAGATTTTGCTTTTATGTACCGCTCATTGAAACAAGCATTTAGTGGTACCAAAACCTGTTATTTACCAGATTTGAACACATTTTTTTTTACCTATTTGTAATTTGCTAGGACTTTATAGAAAAAGGGACTTTCTGTTTGGTTTACACTATTACCAAGATATTAATTATAATAATTCTTAATGAAAAATATTTCTCCATTCTTTGAATATTGGCCACTTGAAAGTGATCATTTCAAGGGATTCCATCTAAGGCTTTTTCATAGACAATTATAAAATATGTAAATTTATACCATTTCTTTAATTATGTAGCGTTTAATGATACTTCAACAACTAAAATGGTGCTTTTCTGATCAGATATAGGTACAAAAAGATAATATTTATCTCTGTTAACCCAAGTCAATAATAATNACCCGAGGATCGAACCAGGGAACTGTGGCAAGACAGTGCGAAGCGCTACCGCTCAGTCACCGGGCGTCCTGCGCATATTATACACAATATATTAAGAGGAAACACACATTCACTGTAAACTTTATTAGAATAACGATGCTAGTCTTAGTTGCTGGAAAAACTTGGAGTAATAAGAAACAGCTTGACATAAAACAAATAATGCTATGATGAATGAAATAATATAGCTGAACTATCATTAAATATTCTATAGATTGAGCTTCGAGAGGTCTGCATTTCTTAAAAGACAAAAGTAAGAAATAAAATTCCCTGTTTGTAAGGAAAAATTCAAAATTCCCTGCATTATCCCTGTTATTAAAATAACAAAATTAAATCATCTAAAGATGATTTTTAAATTCCCTGTATTTTCCAGGATTTCCCTGTGGAGTGGCTACCCTGTTTTTGAACTTCCCTAATGTTATATTTTACTGAAAAAGTGACAGTCCTTTTATAGTAGACTCCTTTCCTAAGTTTTTTTTTCTTTTATTTTAAATTTGCAGGAGTTCGCATATGACGGATTATGTCAAATCTTCGCCATTAAAATTTGAAGTAGTATTAAAAACAAAAAATTTCGGCAACTTTTAACTCGGATCTCAAATCAGCATTTTTTTTCCAGCAGAAAATACTGGATTATTTACTAATTGTTAATAAGGAAATTAGTAAACTCTAAAGCGGAATTCCAGTCAATTGAAAATTATTGATTTCTTCCATAGAATGTATAAATTATTATTTATTAAATTAGTTAATAATTTATAAACGAATTATATAGAAGTGTACTCACTATTTCTAACTATGCTATTGTTATATGTGAAATAAATAATTTTTCAGAGAATTCGGACTCAGTGAAATGTCATTTATAGTGCACCTACTGCTGGGTCCGCAGACAGTTCACTATAACGAGGTTCGATTATTGAATTCCTAAGTGGAATGTTTTTAATCTTGTCTTCTGCGTAAATGATTCGTTAGATATTGATCACATTTAAGTATTTTCTTTGCTTAAACATTATTGGCAATCAAATGTACACGTCGTAAGCATACTGAAATATACGACTTTTTGCAACCAGCATTTGTCTCTGCCTTTGGCAATGCGTAAGTCTGTTGCATTTTTCAGAATTTTCTAATCTCATATGCCATTTTTTAATGATTATTGCAATCATCCTAATAAACCTTTAAGCTAATTAGAAAATAAACGAAGACTCACTCAATTTGGCTGAATTTTCTTAGATTTTGCTCACTGAAACTTAAATATAGTTAAATATTATAAGCATTCACTACTCTGAGCTGATTTCGAAACTCCTGAAATAACTCAGGGTAATTGAGCAATAAATTGCAGTAATGATTAGATAATGATCATCTTAAAATTAGCCCTAAAGATATGTGGCATCATTGAAATAATTTTAAGAAGTGGAAGCCTGATTAGAAAATTTTAGAAAATTTTCTATACAACATGGTTAATTGCAAAATGACGGTGGCTGTTTGCAAAGTGCGGTATTATTCTATGAACTCATGACGTATACATTAATTTATTTCATTTTAGACAAAAATTTTAACATTATGCATTAAAGTCGGTGAATGACGGATATGCATAAAAGTACAATCGGATTTCTATTTAACGAACTTCCATTTTGGAAATTTCTCTATTTCGCGATTTTTTTCCCGAGGAACCAGGAACATTTTGTAAATTTATTCCTAAAGTAACCTCTAAATAGCGAAGGGAATTTTCCATTTAACGAACTCTTCTTGGAGATCCACTTTCCCTATTTCCCAAAATATTTCAGAACATTTCAAACTTGTCAGCTCATTTTATAGGGGAAGTTGATTTTCGAAGCGACTTAACTTTTGGAAAAAACAGTAAAATCCTTTTATGCTTGCACCTCAAATGAATAACTCAGACTAAATTAACGAATTTTATCAGTAGCAATTAAACTTAAGAACGCATGCGGTAATGTATGGTTGAAATTATTTTTATAATAAATGCAGCTATAATTTTACGCATAAATTTAGCTTTTTTTTTTTTTTTAAGTTGAAATGTATGTAGCATGATATTGTAACACTGGATAATGTTTTGTTCTATTCTTGCCTTCCAAGCAGATTTACTTTTTGGTTAAGATTTAAAAACTATATAGTAGATCCTAATTTACAAGCTAACGGTGTATCAATTGCCATTTTAATTATGTTTATGTTTTACGAATTTAAAACCTGTTTTGTGTTGTTTAAGTATTTCAAAAGGTGATTTTCTATTTAACGAATTTTCCATATAACGAACTCATTATCGGGATTTAGCAACATCGTTAAATAGAGGTCCGACTGTAAATGAATTCACACCAATTAATTTTGTTTCAACTTTTTGTTTCAGAAATTCAGCCACCTATCTTGAATAAAACTAACTTGGGAGGTGGTATCACCATCTTAATAGCTCCGGGATCTCTCCAGGAATTTTATTGTTACAGTTACGGTGTACCAGCCCCGGTCACCTCCTGGATGAAGGACGGTCAAATGTTGGATGCTGAAGGAGCGGATATAAGTGAAAACAATCAGAGGTTAACCATAAGGAAGGTCATGGAGAGGGACGCTGGTTTTTACGAATGCCTAGTCCAGAATAGAGGTGGTACAATCAGAGCCAACGCCACCCTGGATATTTTTACCGGTTTGTGTTCTCTATTCTTTTTATCGGAGTTATTATTTTTTAAAACCCATCGAACGCGTAAATATNTTATAAAGGAAACTAGAAAAAGTGCCCGTAGCGGGATATATGAAAACTCACCCGTAACGGGATAGATAAAATATCATAAAACAAACTAGATAAACCCGTAACGGGTAATATGAAAGCTGAAATTCCACACAAAACTAATTCTAAGAAATCAACAACTTTCTGGTGTTCTAATTTTATCGTCTGCTTTTATTATTGGTATTTCGTTGTAAAATATTTCATTGATGTGCGCATGCGCTTCTTCTCCGTTACATCGTACCGAAGGAAAAAAAGGGAAGCCCATTTGAGAGGCACAGGGAACCGGTAAAATCCATTCGTACCGCGCATTGACTCGCGTTTGCTTTGGTGCCTTTCATTTCTTGTGGTGCCTCTCATTTTTAAAGGCACATTAGTTATGTGCCTCTAACGCGAGAAAATAAAGGGTACATTTAGCTTGTGCCTTTTATTTAAGAGGTACAGTTTTTAGAGTGTAATGGACGATGGGATAGCTTTGTGTTGGTTTAAGTACTAAATAAAATATAATTACATCTTACAATAAAAAAAATAATTCAGCTAATCAGTGATTTTCACCGAAAATCACAGATTTCAATTGTTTGTGGTCACCAAACTATTTTTATTTTGACATAACATTATTTTGTAGTTCGATGTTTTGCTTTAATTTATAGATACGTAAACTTGATCTTCGAAATATAATCTTCAATTGTCTGCTTTCAAAATTTCTTAGAATGTTTCGCTTGAATCATGCAGTTCAAAAGATTCTTCTTCATTGTTAGGACTAATTACTCGAAATATTATGTAAACTTCAGTAATTTAATTTCAAGATATTTTGTAAAGGGCCCGCAGAATTGGGTGGGCCTTGGGCCTGAATTTGTCTTGATCAGCCCCTGCATATAGCCTGCTTCATTGCTAAATGACGGCGGCTGTTTGCGAATTGCCATCATATTCTATGAGCTCATGATGTATACATTAATTTATTTCATTTTTGACGAAAATTCTAAAATTATGCATTAAAGTCGGTGGATGACGGATATGCGTATAAGTAAATGAATTCACACCAGTTAATTTTGTTCCAACTTTTTGTTTCAGAAATTCAGCCACCTATCTTGAATAAAACTAACTTGGGAGGTGGTATCACCATCTTAATAGCTCCGGGATCTCTCCAGGAATTTTATTGTTACAGTTACGGTGTACCAGCCCCGGTCACCTCCTGGATGAAGGACGGTCAAATGTTGGATGCTGAAGGAGCGGATATAAGTGAAAACAATCAGAGGTTAACCATAAGGAAGGTCATGGAGAGGGACGCTGGTTTTTACGAATGCCTAGTCCAGAATAGAGGTGGTACAATCAGAGCCAACGCCACCCTGGATATTTTTACCGGTTTGTGTTCTCTATTCTTTTTATCGGAGTTATTATTTTTTAAAACCCATCGAACGCGTAAATATTGGGAATTTCTTCTTAACAATATCCAAGAGGCGGTTCCTCTTCATGCCCTCTTAAAACCTTTGGCTTACGGCAGGTACATCATGTGGACCACATGTGATGATACAATATGGTATACCGTACGCAAAGGGTTAAGGGTTTTTGTCTGGTACGCTCACTCTGTAGCGATAAAAATTTAATATTTTCAAAATTGTTATTCTGAAAGTCTATACTAATTGAAAATATGTGAATTTTAATTAAATGAAACCTAATCTTTATTTCCATAAACGGCTGTTATAAAAATCTTTTTCTTTTTTTATTCTGCACCGACCTTCTGATTTTTGGCTTTTTTCGTAGAATATTTTTTTTAAAAAAATGGAGCAGTTTTTCAAAATATCGCACCACATTTTTATAGGTTTCTTAAATATTAGTTTGGTTAAGAGGATATTAACAATTAAATGACGTGGTTCCTAAAACAGTGTGAGTAAATAATGGCGTGTTTTTTTCTTCTATTACTTTCCATTTTTTTTTTCTTAAATTTTATTTTATGTTTTTTGTATAATGTAATTTTTTAAGAATTTTTTACGTGTTTGATGTATTTATTTTTGTTGTATTGACAACCACTCGTTTTTTTTTTTCGTTTTTTTTAAATCGACGGTATGAATTTTATGAAAATAAATATCAATAAAGATTAATGTATTGTTCTAGATAATCGAGATGCCCTCCACCAAAATGCTTTAACAACAGGAGAAATTACAGCCCTGATAGTCTTTGGAGTAGTCGCCATTATTTTAATCTTCGTGGTCTCCTGCTTAGTGAAAAGGATAATGAAAGAAAAGGTACAAAGATACTGGTTCTACATAAAAATTAGTGATGTTTTTTGTTTCTTCTCTTTAATGAAAATATATATTTACTTTTTTTTTAAACCAGAAACAAAAGAAGGAATTGGGTTTTATAAGCCACAATGTCTTTGAAAGAGGCTACATCGATATCTTCAACCCTAATCTGCCGCTAGAAGATCAGATTGATCTTTTACCTTACAAACACAACTGTGAATTTCCAAAAGAAAGACTCAAATTAGGTAAGAATTGGTCCTGGTCGATATAAAACCATGATATATCGTCGAAAAATAAATATATTTTACGATACATCACTATATTTTCCATAACTAATTTATATATTTCTCAGATTGAGCATGTTTAATTTTTTTTTTGTTGGCCGAAATGAAATAAAATGAAAAAAAACCATTTTTTCTGAAAACCCTTTGGATCACGTTATTATCGGCATTTTTCAAGTCAATATTTTTCGGTCTTTATCGCTTGCCGATATCTTTCGATATTTATTGTTTGACGATATTCATCGTGTGTTGACACTTTTAACACTAATAGGAAATCGATATTTATCACGCTCCAATATTTATTGAATTTAAAATGTATCCTGAGAATAAATTTTAGATATCATTATTACGATAATTCGCAAATATCAAAATGGCTCAGGGGATAGAGCGTTCGCCTTCCAATGAGGTGATATGAATTCCACATCCGGCTTGCACCGACCACAGTTCTGACGTGAAATATCTTCAGTGGTAGACGGATCATGGGTTAGAGTCCCCTTGTCGTCAGGCTAACCGTGGGTGGTTCTCGCGGTCTTCCTCTCCATGAAACGCAAATGTGGGTTGGTTCCATCAAAAAGTCATTCACGAAGGCAAATTTCTCTCCCTTGTCTTCTGGATTGCGTTCGAAATTACAAGGCTACGGAGTTGAGCGCTATTGGTCGTAAACCCAAATGTTTTCTGCGTTTCAACGATTAAAATAAGATACATCGATTTGAAAAGCTATTTTACCCACTTTTGACACTAATATTTTTCATACATTTTTAAAGCAAGATAAATCTAAGTATTTTCATAACACATTGAATGAGGGTGTTCCATAACCACCACCCTAAATATATTATTAGAACACTTGAGTAAAAAAACGTACACATTGGGGATCGTAATATTTAAGCAAAGAAAACAAAAACATTTTTAATTCGACTGATCATTAACATATAACGTTAGATTAAAAAGATGTTTAATGGCAAGACGAAACTGTGAGAAAGGATTATACCTTCATTTTTTCTCACGACAATCAATCTAATTTCGAGGATTTCATTACCGCCTTCCTTAATAATGTTTCATCAGATATTTCTAGTGTTTTTCCTTGCATGACTAATATAATCGTCGTTAAACAGCCAATACAATTTTGGGTTTACTACTAATGTTAACTCTGGGGCCTTGTCATTTTGAACCCAATCCAGAAGACAAGGGGACCATCGCCATCGTGGAGGACTTTTAGATGGAACTAACCTGCATTTGCATTACATGGAGAGGAAAACCACGAAAATCACCCACGGTTAGCTTGATGGCAAGGGGACTTTAACCTATGATCCGTCTACCACTGAGGATATTTTACATCAGCACTGTGGTTGGTGAGAGCCGGGTGTGGAATTCGTATCGACCAGCTATCACTGGGATTCGAACCCGGTTCGCCTCATTAGAAGGAGAACACTCTATCCCCTGAGCTACCATGGCTCTTGAATGACTTATATGTATTTTGTATTGTAACCGTCGTTGAACAGCCGACCCAACTTTGGGTTTACGACTACTAATGTTCAATTCCGTAGACATGAACTAATCCAGAAGACAAGCAAATTCCTGGATAATTTTTAGGGAATTTGTTAGAGGTATAATTTGTTATGGGAACATGGAGGACTTTGTGACTCGACAGATTTAACGTGCATCAGTCACCATTTACTATACTCTTCGGCGGCCGGCGGGAATCGAACCCACGACCTCTTGGACATGGGCCCGGTGCCCTACCAAGCAGGCTATCCCGGCCCTTGCATGACTTATAGTTATTATCTTATTCTTAGACATGAATTCAAAAAATATATATCAAGGGCAGGGATTGCACACAAATATTAACCGTAAATGGACCGACATAAGCGACATTAATCCAATGGTGGCAAAAATCATTTTATCATACATATTTGTAATTAATCATTATTATGTCAATGATTTTCAGGTAAAACTCTCGGGCAAGGAGCATTTGGACGTGTTGTCAAAGCTGAAGCAATAGGTCTAGTGGATGGAGAAGCAACGACTACGGTTGCAGTCAAAATGTTGAAAGGTCTGTAGCATGTGATTTTACTTCATGATACACAATTTTTTACGATAATGAAAGAATTAATAACTCTAAAATGCATAGATATGTATATACTGTACCGAGCACAGAGATTCGCTTCAATTGGAGATGAATATAACAGTCCTTAAGAATCCAAAAATTTATCAATAGCAGTTTTTTGCATTCTATTACAGCAAGAATAACCGGTTAGTACACGACAAATCACAGATTTTGAAACCTCAGACGGTTCACAAGAGACTCGTAAATCAGAACACTATTGCAGTCACCAACAGATCACAGTTCTCTACGAGTACTTTCTGCTAATACTTCTCGTCTAATTCCGTAAATATTGGTCCCATCTCTTCGAGACTCGAATTTTCCAGAACTCTAATTTTGTCTCCAAAATGGTTGCCAATTCGCCAAAGTTATCACCAAGTCTGCAAAAAAATGTCACCAAACCGAGTTTTCCTTAAGCGTTATTTTCTCTCTTAATTATGTTAGAATTACGCGATCTCCTTGAAAATTTTCTGATTAAAATGATTATTTAGGGTCCGTCTGATATATTTAACCTAATTACAAAAGAATATTTACAAAAGTATACACTTATTCACAAATCCTAAATCAAGCACTATTTCTTAAAATAAAATTAGTTAATCAAGCACATTAAGCGAAAATATAAATTAAAACAAGGCCGAACGGAAGAACAAGGCCTCCTTTTCAATTAACAGTTTTTTTTTAAAAAAATTTATAGTTTTTATGACTTTCCTTCAGTTTAGAGACATTTGCTTAAAGTGTCTGATGGAAGTTTTTCACCAAGAAATATTATTTTCATTATAATCTAGTCCAAATAAGTTTTTCAATCAAAATATAAAGTTTTTACAAAATGTAAATACTCAAAAATACGAGATATGAAAAGCAGTTGTTACATTTATTTATAAGAAAAACCTTCCTCGTGTCAACGAGGCGCCTTTGTTCCACCTTCTGTGTTTAGAATTCCCAGGCAGCACTAAAATTGAAACAAAACGCAAATTCCCTTAAAACCTGTTTATTCTACTTTCAATTGCAATTAATAACCATATTCACTAATACAACATAATAATAAACCGATGAACTGGCCAAGGAGGGCTCCAATGATCCTATAGATAGTAGTGGCTCTCTAACATACAATGAAATCTATGCAAAAGTAAAGGCCGACAATAACAGGACTTGGAGGATTCCACCTAGTCGTGATTGGTATCAACAAAATAGTCCTGGGACTGCCCTGGAGCTAAAAGGTGATAGGAAACTGCAGACAGCTATCACAAAACTAATCAGTGGTCATACCCGTGGACAGGGTCAAAAGACTTTCCCTGTTAGCCTAAAATGTAATGTGCACCTGTTCATTTGCTCTCCTGTATGGGGCTAGAGAAGAATTTTATCATGGTGGGTCCGGCGATGGTACATGATTTTCTGTCGGTGAACGGTCCTCTGGACTTGGTCTAAATTTGTTATGGGCCAAGTGGATAAGTAACAACAACAACTAATACAATAATAGAGCAAGGCGAATATTCCTGGAAGACGAGTTATCTTGTCCGTCGCGATGAAAGAGTTAAGAACTTCTTTATAGTTTATTTATTTTATTATTTTTAAGTAACACAGTGGTCACTTTTTTAAAGTTTAGTGCATCAGTTATATTTGAGGACATTTTTGCTGGATAGAGGGCTATAATACCCAATAAGAGGAAAACGGTTCTAAATCTAGTGCTGGTAGTGTGGTCAAAACCAGAGAAGGAAAAATAAACTCGATATCTGTGTATGATATGGAAGAAAATTTGAAAGGCCAGAAAAAGGGGACAACATGCACATTCAATCCATGTTTTGATAAACTTAGTTGGGATTATTTTTTTTTGAAGCTAAAATTAACAAGAACTTAAAAATTTTAATATATATAATGTGTGTTAGTTGTTTAGTTTAGCCTACTAGAACAAAATATATTTGCTACTGTGAATGACAGAAATAAGTGGTTGTTGACTTCCACCGGTGAATGTTGACAATCACATAGTCGCTTTGGTAAATGTCCGAAATATATACCAGGTCTAGTTAAGTGCCGTTACCCGGTATACCAGACACTATCCTGTATACTTTTAATCTATCCTCGGCAGATATTAAATACGACGAATAAATTAATATCAACGAATAAATTAATATCAAATCGGATATAACAAATATTTCGGACATTCACAGGTGAAAGTCAAAATTCTTTTGATTTGCAGCGTTCAATCAAAATTCTATTTAACTTATTTGAATATATCAATATATTAAAAATCTTTTTAAACATTCGTCAACAGATGGTGCTGATATGGAACAGAGGAAAGCTTTGATAGCTGAATTGAAAATCCTCATTCATATCGGAAAGCATGTAAATATCGTCAATTTGTTGGGAGCCGTCACCAAAAACATAGGAAAAGGTGAGTTTCCTTTTACATTTTTAATTCTAATGAACCCATACATGTACTATTATTTCAGATTTAAAAAGCAGTGAGTTTTGAAATTTATCTCATTAATATATTATGGTCTTGTTTTTGAAAAATAAATCCTACTCACGAAACACCCATAGTTTATCTACGGTAAGAACTCCCCCAAGCCACACAGTATGAGTCCATCTGCTGCTATGGAAACAAGAATAGCACATTTCAGGGAGGGTATAGCTTCTCTTCACTCTAGGACTAACACAATAGGCCGAAGAAAAGTATGCCCTTTCTCTCCCCGGCCCGACCCCAAAACTATCCTAAACAGTGGTCCACACCCCTACTTGAAATAGTTATAACTCGTTACCATAGTCACCACCGTGCGTCCAGACAAATGACATGGGGAGTTTTTACATTAGACAAACTATATCCTATTTTTTATTTCATTTAAAAAGACGATAGATACGGATGAGATAATATATCAGAAATATTGTTAGCGGGAAAAAATTCTTCTTACATCACTTCACTCCGTAAGGAGCATAAGGTCTTAATTTTGTCCCTCTGTTGGTGGACGAGAACTTTATTTCTCTTCATATGTTTTATTTATTGTCTTGAATTTATTCATAATAGTTCTGCCGCACCGTGTCAGTTTAAGTCTGCCTCCCTTTCGTTTTCGTTGGGGTGTTTGAATTTTTCCGGTTTTCTGATAGTGTGTCCAATCTATCACCATTTCTATATTAAATAGTAAAGATTGATAGTGACCGATCTACCCCAGGAGGAGTTTGCGGATAAGGGTTCGACCCATTTCCACGTGAGAAAAAAACACTACAAAATTACAGTAAAGTAAAATTAAAACTAATACAGATCGATACACATTAGAAAATGTTAACAATATCGATGACGTATAAATTTAAAACAATAACTCAAGTATTTTAAACCATGTAGAAAAGTAAAAAATACGAAGTGGATAAATACTCAAAATGTGGCCGTGCTCAGTAAGAACAGATAGTTTAGCATCCCCAATGATATTTATAAAATTTTAAATCAATCATAATAATTCCACAAGGGTTTTATAGTTAAAGCCGATGTAAAATTTCGGAGCAAGACATCAAAGTGTACGGCTATCACAAAAGAGGTCACCAGTGACTAAAAGTTCTCCATGGAAGGGAAAGACCCCGAAACAGCAACCAGTCCAAGTGTCCTGCTCAAAATAAAAAATCAAAGGGGTCTTGAAGAGAACCAGAATTCTTAAAAACGAGTCGAAAGCGCTTAGAACATCTAAAAGAGTAATAAATAGTAAAGATTAAATAGTAAAATACGAAAACAGTTTCGTTGTCGTGAGAAAATGGCGTTTCCATAAGAAACCTGTTCCTCTTGCAAATAATCAGGTTTTTTAAACCTCGCGTTCTTCGTTAATGATTCATCAGATATCTACCTTGCTTTGCAACTTTAATGCGAATGTGTTTTTATTATATATGATCTATATAAAAGTCATAAAAACAATAATTTATTAATGATCTAGGAGAACTTTACGTGATCGTAGAGTACTGCTGTTATGGAAATCTTCGTCACTTCTTGCTGAAGCACAAAGGATCCTACCTCAACCAATTAGATCACAGACAGTTAGATGCATCTCTGCCTGCTTCACCCCTCTTCAAAGACAACATGCTTGGAATGGATAATCCCACCTATAGGTGATTCTTTTTTTTTTTATTTCTCATTAATCCCCCATCAAGCAATGACGTTTACAGTTTGGTAAAAGTCCAATCATAAAGCAGACATTTTTACCAAGCTACTTTGGTAAATCTTATGTTTCGCTGCTAAGATTTACCAAACTTCTGGCTCTTACGGCAGCATATACCTGTCAAAATCAGAGCAAACCGTCCTATCATAAATTTGTTTTAAAAAAACAACTAATTACCAAATTTTTTTATAGTTAAAACATATATAGAGAACTTTTTTTGCTACAAAAGCAAAGAACAGGGAGATCCAATTCAAGAATGTCAAGGAATTCGTCCCTGCTAAGCAATTCATTATTTTTCTACCACTGCTGCTTCACGCAAATCAACGCTCACCTCCCAATGAGGTGACTTGGGTTCGATAGCAGCGATAGTTAGTAGATTCGCATTCCACACCCGGCTCGTACCGACCACAGTGCCGACGTAAAATATTCTCTGTGGTAGACGGATCAAGGTTCAGCTCAATGGAAGGCAAACGCTCTATCCTCTAAGCCACTGCAGCTCAATTTTTCACAGTTTAGAAGAGCTCAAAAACATTACAATTTCCATGTAGGCAATAAATTTATTCTGTGAGTCGCAGTTGCTCAGAGTATATACAGCACTCGCCTCCCAAGTGGTAACCCAAGTTCAAATAGCAGGGATGGCTTATTGATACGAATTCTGCTCCCGGTTCAGACCGACCAGTGCTGATACAAAATCTCTTCAGTGGTACACGAATCCCCTTGTCGTCGGGCTGATCGTGGGTGATTTTTCCCTCCATGTAACGCAAATACTAATTAGTTCCATCAAAAGGTCCTCCACGAAGATTAGCTTGTCCTACTGCTTGATCCAGAAGTTCTAATCTTCTGGGTTGGGTTCACAATGAAAGGGCTACGGAGTTGAAAAACGATAGTCGTCAACTCAAAATTGGGTCGACTATTCAACAGCGGTTAAAAAAAAAAAATTTAAATGCTTCCACGCGTATTGCGCTGTTATCTAGTGGAAATTCCGGAAGTACCACTAAAAAGTATCACTCAGGAAACATGCTAAGGGAGTTTTTGTGAAAATACTGCCTTTAAAAATGTTGGTACCATTTAAATTCTCTCAACTAGCCTACAAGAAATTTACAGCTGTTTATTTAATTGTAGGCAACAATCTCTAAATTACGCCGACTTGGCTCATCATCAGGGTGTAAATGATTCTGGAACAGGCATTTCCGTTTTTACGAGTCCATCCGGAAGTACTACCACAAGTGAGAGGTACTTACGGAGTGCCTTTTCTCTTCCCTCATCAACCGAAGACAACTGGAACGAGGAGGCAGGCATCACTACCTGTGATCTTCTATGCTTTGCATTCCAGTGTGCAAGAGGAATGGAATATCTAGCCTCAAGAAAAGTAAGTCACTCATATTTCTCGAAAGAGTAAATTAGAAGTCAAAAACTATGAGGTCACCCAGAAAGCGACTGAAGCATTAAAAAGTAAATTTTATTGTCCACATTAAGACTTCAAACAAATTCAAATACACTAAAAAATTAATTATTAATTCAAATGTTTTAAGTGAAAACAAGTGAGATAAAAAAAAATTTAAGTCAATTGCTACTTAGGTCAATAAAGAACATTTTTATTCTAGCTACTTTTTATTAAATAATTTTAAAAAAATTTCTCCCATATGAAACTAAAATTAATAAATTAAATTTAATGAATGAATTAATATTTGAAAAAACTATATTAACATCAAGTATCATCCACTTACAAGTTTATAAAAATGTATTTGAATTTGAGTGGATGAATAAAAAATATTTTATTAACGATTGAAAATTTGAACAAGATGTAGAGTAAAACTGATACCTCTTTAAAAAGGTTAAAATTTTGGCTATAATTAAGTCTATTAAAAATTGAAATAAGTGAATTGCAAATGGAAAAACCTGCATAAACAAATAAATTCTAGTAAAACAAATAAATTCGTGATATAAATCAAAAATCGTCAAACAAATACGTAATATTTAAATTCGTGAAAGAAAAAAAAACCGCTTTCGACAAAATACTAAAATAGAGATCTATCGACAAAGACTACTCACTTCTGCCTAGCTTATGCTCTATCTCTGGTTATTTCAGTTTCCGTTTTTAAAAGCGATATGTTCAGCCATCTCAGCTAGATTTGGCATGTGACATTTTTAGTGGTAATCATTGGTCGATTTTCTAGCGTTGCCATTCGGGGAGTTGCAATGAGGTTTCTTTTTGTCGCCGTGTAAGAGAAATATACATATAGATATAGGGAGAGTGTGAAACTAATAGTATAAATTTTTTTAAAAAAAAGCGCGAGATATCAGACAACTATAAAAATATAAATTTGGTGACGTGGACCACACGTGATACCACGTAATGTTCTTTATTGAATTTATCTGACAAAGGGAATATAAAGTAATTAAATATTTAAATGCGCGCAATAAGTTGGAAATTATTACTGATGTTATTTTTAAAATATGTAAAAAACTGAATCACTTATTATAAAATTTAAAACACTGACTAACGCTTATGCAATCAGAAAATTCCATTTCGTTTTTTACTCATCCCTGTTTAATGAATGAATTAATATTGAAAAAAATAACTGTGTTAACATCAAGTGTCACCCACCACAAGTTTTAAAAAAATGTATTGGAAATTGAGTAGATGAATAAAAAGTATTTTATTAACGATTGAAAATTTGAACAAGAAGTGAGAGTAAAAAGTTAGTCTGGTTGTATTTAATGTTATACTTTTATATAAAAAATAACAAGTGGCATTTTATCTGACCTAAAAATGTGCATAGAGTATAAAAACACTTACTCAAAGTAGTCAATAAAAGAAAACTAATGAATGATTCATTCACAGCTGATTCACAGAGATTTAGCAGCTAGGAATGTCTTGCTAGCTAAAGATAATGTAGTGAAGATTTGTGATTTCGGATTGGCGAAAGATTGCTATAAATATTCCAACTACATCAAGAAAACAAGCGTAAGTATCTCCCTTCATTAGACAAGTCAAAAAACTAACAAGGATGTGCCAATTAATTAAATAGTACAATGGAATATTTTTTGTAGGGGTTGCTGCCCATTAAGTGGATGGCTGTCGAATCGATTCGTGACAGAGTCTTCACGTCTAAAAGTGACACGTAGGTTTTTTTTTTAATTATTTTTCTATCTAAACTGTATGTGATGTTGTGGCTGGAATCGAAATCATAACTTTACAGCAGAGTTAGACGTCGATTATAGTAATCGATTACAACTGTAATTGATCACAGATAATTACTGCTATGTAATCAATTACTTGTAATCACGATTACAGGTAACTGCGATTACAAGTAATCTTAATATTTTATTACATCAGAGTAGAGCAAAAATGTAATCAATTACAGTAATCAATTACTTATAATCATGATTACAACTGTAATCGTGATTACAATACTCAATTACAGTAATCATGATAACAAACAATCATAATTTTGATTACAACTGTAATCGCGATTACATAACCAATAACTGTAATCAATTACTTGTAATCGTGATTACAAATAATCAAAATAGACGATTACGTGTAATGATGATTACAGCTGAGATCAAATAATGAAGTATGATATGTTTATTTTTTCAGATGGTCTTTCGGAATTCTTTTGTGGGAAATATTCACCCTTGGTGGTAATCCTTATCCCGGCGTTGAAGTTAATGAGGAATTCTTCAAAAAACTGAACAATGGGTATAGAATGGAAAAGCCTGATTTAGCTCCAGATAAGATGTAAGTACTGAAAACCGAAAAGGCATTTTAAAATGGTAAAGTCATTTAAAGGTAACAACAGATATCAAATGAGTAGCCTAATGCTCGGTTACAAGTAATTTCATAGCTTAACTCTTCTAACTTTTTTTTTCTAATTTTATCTAGTGCCTGCATTGTATTCAGTTCTTGAATTTTAGTCTTTCAAATTATACGTATGGCTCAGACAAATTAGATCGAATAATCATCGCGCTTCAAATTTAAAAAAAAAAGCTGAAAGAACCCCATTAAGATTTTTTAGATACTTAGTTATTGCTTTGTTGGTTTAAATACTCATACTTTAGTACAAATAAGTGGCTAAAATAACCCTTAGTAAGAAAGTATGGCCCAGTTCTTTAGCTCGTTTATACAAAATGCATCATTTCAAAGAAATCGTCCAATAGTCTTTGTAGAATAATTTACTTATTTTTATTGTAAATGAGCATTTTTTTTCCTCGAAAAAAAGAATTTATTGGTTGCAAAAATACAGAAAAGCAGATAAATCATATACCTAATCCAATCGCTAATGAAATAACTCTTATTATTTTAATAATTAATGAGAATTTCTATTTTAAAAATTAATAAGATATTCCAATCGCTAAAAAAATAACCATTATTTTTCATACTACAGTATTCCAATTGTCAATGAAATTTATGTTATTAATATAATATTCCCATCTTTAATAAGATATGTACCTCTAATTATATTACATATTCAAATCGTTAATGTTATTACATATTCTAATCGTTAATTAATGAGATGTTCCAATCGTTAATAAAATAACCGTTATTTTTCAAGTTACTACAGAATTCCAATTGTCAATGAAATCCATCTTATTAATATAATATTCCACTCTTCAATAAGATATGTACCTCTAATTATTACATATTCTAATCGATAATGTTATTACATATTCTAATCATTAATAAAATAACTATTATTTTTCAAGTTACTACAGTATTCCAATTGTCAATGAAATCCATCTTATTAATATAATATTCCAATCTTTAATAAGATATGTAACTCTAATTATTACATATTCTAATCGTTAATAAAAAATAACATTTTTTCTTCATCAGTTATCAACTAATGAAGAACTGTTGGTTGGACGATCCAAATCAAAGACCGGAGTTCGGTTACTTAGCAGAACAAATTGGAGCATTACTAGAATCTAGCGTTAGAAAAGTAAATATACTCATTGATTTTATCTTTCACTTCAACATGAATGAATATGGAATTTCGATATAGAATATAAGGTAGGTAGGTACATTATTTACGTCGCGCTAGAGCTGCACAATAGGCTATTGGTGACGGTCTGGGAAACATCCCTGAGGATGATCCGAAGATATGCTATCGCAATTTGATGGCTCTCCTGCTTTGATAGCTTGACGACCGCGCGAAGTCGAGCACTTTAAGGTGGAATAATTTAACGAGGACCGATACGGCGTGTCCTCAGTCTCTACGCAGGCTAATCAAAGTGGTTACCCATCTGCTTACTGATATCAGCCAGTGATGCTTGACTTCGGTGTTCTACTGAGAACAGTATATAGAATATAAAACCAAGAAATTATAAAAGACAGATTGCATTTTTTTAACTTCACAGTTATATACACCGAAGAGCCATTACATTATGACCACCCTCCATCTATAACAATGGGCTCACCCAGGTTTGCATGGTTTCTCGCCCAGGAACAATGTTTTCATGGGGCACATTAGGACCCATAATCCTCATAGAACAATCCCTGACGTCTGTAAGCTACTTGAACATAGTTGCAGACCAGGTTCACCCATTCATGGCAACAGTTTTTCCTGCGGGGGATGGTGTTTACCAACAGGATAATGCACCATGTCATAAGGGTCGAATCGTCATGGATTGGTTCGAGGAACATTCCAGTGACTTTCAAGTCATGTCTTGGCCCCCAAATTCACCTGACCTTAATCCAATAGAGCATTTGTGGTCCTACTTGGAAAACCAAATTCGTGCTGCCACGCTACCCCCTCGCAATGTGAGGGAATTGCAGGACCAGTTGGTGAGCGCTTGGTACCAGATACCTCAGACTACCTATCAGCACCTTGTGGAATCAATGCCACGGCGGGTGCTAGCAGTTTTGAGGGCTAAAGGTGGTCCTACATGTTATTAGGAGGGTGGTCATAATGTAATGGCTCTTCGGTGTATATATATCTGCTTGATGGGTGGACTTTGTTTTGAACGGCTCAATGTTCAAATCAATGCTACTCATATAAGTTTCATCAGCGAGAAATTTTTCACTTTCGTTAGCCTATAGAAATTTTTCACAAATTTTCGTTAGCCTATATTACCTGTATGGCGTTCAAGTTCATAAACTGACATGGCCACCACTAAACCATTTCTTTGGCATTTAATGTGCTAGGAAAAATTCATTCATGAACAATAGGAATTTTTCCAACTAAAAAGGTTTTGAAAACAAACGTAATTTAAGATTGATTTAAAGTGAAACTGAAAACACGCTGTACTTGTTAAAAAATTGTCGAAAAATAATAAAACACACATAAGATACGCTATAAGAATAATGCGAGGGGAAGAGAGATTTTGGATAAAATCCTTCGAATTATTGTATTCAATTTAAGAATGTCCAAGGCTCTCCCTTGTTGAGCAAAGAGCCAGTGCAGCTAATTGTTAACGCGATTTCTCTGCTAATCAATGCTCGCCGTCCTAATCGCAGCTTACGTATGTAATTCGTTTCAGGCTGAGGGGGCTCTCTAAATTTGGAACTGCTAAGTATTCTATATTAAGGTTATTCAAATAACCTTAATATAGAATACTTAGCAGTTCCACATTTTGATAGTCAATGTCAGTTTTTCTTTTTTCCAATTTACACGAGCATACGCCTCATACGCACAACAATTGAGATTTGGACCGACATGTAAACACGTCAGACTAGTTCATATCATGAACAAATGAGTCACACTATGTCAGTGGAAACTATCAACAAAAAAAAAAATTTTTTGTGGACACTAATCAATGTAATATGTACCATCTTTCCAAAACAATAACGAAATTAAAGATGCATTTAATAACTAGAACTATTTTATGATTGCAGTATTATGTGGAACTAAACGAACCTTATCAAATGATGAATGAAGAACTCTTGCTCAACAACAACGACTATTTGCAAATGGCGGGCATGAAGATGGAGGAATATACGAATATGGTTCCAGGGGACGATCCTCCGGCGGTGATACCGCTGGAGAGTCTGTCACCACATCCTCCCGTCACCAACGTGACTTATCTCAATATGACAGCAACCAATGAAGATTCAGACTTCTATCAGTGGAGGACAAAAGAGGACATTCCCCACTATGAGAATGGTGATTCAACTTCTGAACCTCTGTTAATAAAGAGAATGCCAACTTCTTAAAACAGAAAGGGATTGCTCATTTAAGAAAGAAACTGCATTTAGGGAATAGAGATGCCCAAACTAGATCAGCAATCCATCATTTGTTTGCTAATGGCAATCAATTTGCCATAGGATGGAGGGCATCTCTATTTCGATAGATCCATGCTGAATTCCATTGATGTAAAAATCATTAAAAATTATTTTTCTGTGCTTATTTCAAATTAAATGAATTTTTAAGTCAAAATTGTAATTTAAATAATCAAAAATATATTTTTAATAATTTGACAAGATAATCATTCGTAAGGATACATATAATTTAATATTATAATTATTATAATTTTAATTAATATTATATAATTAATATATAATTTAGATATTAATTAATATTACATAATTAATATATAATTTAGATATTAATTAATATTACATAATTAATATATAATTTAGATATTAATAATATTTAATTATAACATATAATTTAATTTAATATTATATAATTAATATATAATTTAAATATTAATACATTAATTATTATTTAATTAATATATAATTTAAATATTAATTAATATTTCATTAATATGTAATTTAATTTAATATTATAATTTTAATCATTTGTAAGGATACATTTAGGAAAACAAATATTAAATCAATTTTGTTTAGCGACATACTTCGTTTCACAAAAAAAATGTGATTTTTGTCTTTTAAACTGTGTCTAGCTAAATTATAAAAAAATAAAACTAACGGGTGTCGTAAAATATTATAGAAAATTTGGAAGAATTATTTTATTTTCTGTTCGATGTAGAAACTAAATTAAGGAATTCAAGCCAATTTTGTAAGAGATGCCCGTCTGAGATTAGTAGACTGACTCTAAAATAATGCATTCTATCAATTTTTGAAACTAAAGCATACAAATTTTTTGCATTTCTAATCATACAAGAAAAAAATATATTGGTGTGTTCTAATATTTAGGCTATATAAAAATAGTTTGCTGAATAAAATATTGTCAAATGAATTAATACATAATTCTCAAAAGCAGCAATCCTTTCTGTTAAGGTTGGTGTCAATAATTTGTCCTTGTTTCAGAAATTGCATGCTGAACAAACTGCATGAGATGTTCAGAAATTTTGGTGGTGATGGTTTCAATTTTTAATTGCATAACAAGTTCTTAATTTAATGATTTTGATGTATGTAGGACACATACAAGTGGACTGCCAAGAAATAAGCACAAGATGTTGAAACGAGCGAAGAAATAGGAATTAGAAAAAAATTCATCTGTAAATATTACTTATTGTAGTCGATATGACACGATGCCAAACGTCATTGTACATAATTCATAACTTTAAATGTTTAAAACATACATGTGTGTGCTGTTGAAATCTTGTATTCATAATTCTTGACTTTGCTCAAAATGGTTTTGATATTTTAGTCTATCTAACATGGACATTATTTTATATTGGACAATGACGTTTCCTAGTGATCCTAGGTTCACTAGTGTTCTAAGTGATCGCCAAATGTTTAGATTTTTCAGTGGCGCTTCCTAGTGATCCTAGGTTCACTAGTGATCGCCGAATGTTTAGATTTTTATGTGGTGCTTCCTAGTGATCCTAGGTTCACTAGTGATTGCCGAATATGTAGATTTTTCAGAGGCGCTTCCTAGTGGTCCTAGGTTCACTAGTGAGCGCCGAATGTTTAGATTTTTCAGTGGCGCTTCCTAGTGATCACCGAATGTTTAGATTTTTCAGTTTGATAAAAAAAAAAAAGTAAAATTGAAAAAAATTAACACTAGGGGTAGAAAATTAATATTTAAATGTGAAAGCTTTTTAGATTCTGTTATAAATATCAGGAAGAGCAAAGAAGGGACTAAAATCACCTAAAACAACTTTATTTAAGGGTGAAGTTTACAGAATTCCTCTTCACAAATGGTGAACACATTCCAATGTCACCTATAGCAAATAAATTTGTTTTTGATTATTTTTCACCGTCCTTTGCTCTTTCTTACATCAATAACTGTTGGTGAGACTTTAAAATGTATTTTTACCTAACTATTAAATTGCAAAGATTATAATAAGAGCAGCCACTATGGGCCACCTTGTATAGATCTGTATGTGTGTCAGATTATATTTGAACATAATATAGAAATGTAAGTAATCCGATAATCATTTACAATTACACTGTATCATTTCATTTAAAGACCTTTTGCTACAATTAAGGTTATTTGATTTTCAATAATATTTTAATATTTGTGCAGCATATCACTATACATTGTGATTCACCGGAATTCCAAATTAATTAAAGAGCAAGTAAGCAGTTCTTGAACAAATGAAGTAACCCTCAAATTAATATTGAAAAAATAATAAAACAAAATCCGTATTAATATAAATTATGAATGGAGCTGAAATGCATTCCACTTACCAATTATTGGAATTCCAATCACTACAAATCAAAAGAATTGTCGATACACTTATAATGCTTCATAGTCATTCCCTGTACAAATGGAACCCCTCATCTTGTAAAAGAATTTCACAACTTTTGCATCCATCCAATAATAGACAATTTTCAAGTAATTCAGATTTTAAAAAAAATAAAGTGTTTAAATTTTAAAAAAAACACAAAAAGAGCTGTGGTCATGTACTACAGAAGGGAAGAAAATAATGTGTTATTTTTTTAATTATCAATTTCTAGTCATGAAAACAATTTGTTTTTGTATACCATACAGTATTAAGGTGATTCTTGTAAGTTTTAAACTGTACTTATTGTGTAGGTTTTTATTTTATTTGTGATGCTTATCCATGAAGATAAAAATGCACCTATATTTAATTACCCTTATAAAACATATCTTTTATTATGTTCCCTGCATGTGTGATACTGTGATGTATTTTCGAGGAAAAAAAGGCTTTTTTTTTAAATTTTAGTTTAACTCTTTAAATACGAACAATGGCAACTTCATGCTACATGGAACACTAATTTGTTTCAGGCAGTTGGTGTATGGATTGATATATGCATCATTATTCAAATGAAAAGCATAAGCAAAAAATATTATTGGTCTTATTATAATATTTTTAATATGAATAATAAAATTCAATGGCTACCATACAAATTCTAGCCTTTCTGGTTTCCGGTCTTGCACCTTTATATTCGCTAAGTTTTGAAGGTCATAGCAAAAATTGTAGGGCGAAATTAACTAAACTAGAAGACTAAATCCAACAAATGGCGATTAAAAAATTTTCTGCATGTCGCCACCCAATTGGCCCTTTTTTTTTAATCGAAAATATAATTCATGAGCATTTTATTTTAATAAAAAAAACAGTTGCAATTAGGATCCTAATTGCAACTTTTGGAAAAGTTGCATTAAGGCAAAGGGTGCGATTGTTCTTATTTTCCAGTGGCCCATCTATTTTATTTTTAGTTTTTTTTTTTGTGCCAGTTTACTCCAAACTTAGAACTCATTTTATCACATGATGATCTGCAGGTTTTGTCTGGTTAATGGCTACCTAGTAAATAGTAAGGATAAGTAAAAACTTTTCTTAAAAGTAAAATCTGATACCTATATATATA